TTCAATCTGCAGTTGACCAAATCCATAAATATGGAAGGCAAATAGTATTTGTATTAGTTTGAAATTTTCCATAAGAGAAAATTAAGAGAAAGAAAGCAGAATCATATTCTGAATTGAGGTAATCAATAAATTATTGTTCTGTAAGGCTGCTCAGTTAATTCAGTTAAGGGAGGTATTTGAAAACAAGGTGCCATTATTTGTCTCAAGATACTATCAAGACATGGTGGCCCATGCCTGTAATCCCAGCGACTCCGGAGGTGAGGAAGAAGGATCTTGAGTTCAAAGCCAGCCTCAGCAATTTAGTAAGGCCTTAAGCAACTTTGTGAGATCCCATCTCAAAATAAAAAATGGGTTAGGGATGCGGCTCAATGGTTAAGCACCTGTGGGTTCAATCCCTGGTACCAAAAAGCAAGAAGAAAAATGATACTATCAAGATAATCTCTTGGGGCTGGGGATGTGGCTCAGCGGTAGCGCGCTCGCCTGGCATGCGTGCGGCCCGGGTTCCATCCTCAGCACCACATACCAACAAAGATGTTGTGTCCGCCGAGAATTAAAAAATAAATATTAAATATTCTCTCTCTCTCTCTCTCTCTCTCTCCTCTCTCACTCTCTCTTAAAAAAAAAAAAAAAGATAATCTCATGAATGTTTATTATGAGATGTGTTTGAAGTCCCGAGTCAAACTTTTGCATATCTTGAATATGGTACATTTTGACATACATACTTCCTCCCAACGTGTATATCCACAAACACACAAATAAAACTATAGGCAAAACTGATCTTAATGGGTAGTGAAGTTCAAACACCTTTTAGGCAATGTACACACACTTTAGATGTCACTGGTCTGCAGACTCCAGGCAGAGTTAGTCCTGGAGGAGAGGAACCTCCAAGAGATTCGCAAATGTCCTTCCAATCTTGTGAAGGCTGCAAATCTCCACCTTGAGTCCAGCGTGTTCGTTGGCAAACTGATGCATACTCAAAGTGCGTAGGACCAGGCCAAAAGATTGGTCCAATTCTGGTCTGGGAAGATGGCTTGATGGGAGCCAGTTTGAGTTCTGCCTGGAGCCCTCAATTGTTCCTTGGAGTCTAGCGATAGGAAGTAATTCTCCTTTCTGTTTTCATTGGATGTGGCTTATGGGGTAATTTTCTCCTTTCACTCAGGTGGAGTCTTTTCCTTTCTAGCTCAGAAGGAGCAGGGTCAAACAGCAATACAGAAAAGAGTCAGTCAGGTCACAGGCAATTAAAAATAGGGATGTGCATAAAGAGAGAGGAAGATGGAATCACACTGTTTGACTCCTTGCTCAGCATTGATGGGGATCGTGATGTGGGGTTTTGTTTTGTTTTTTAATTTTACACTCAGAAAGAAAAATTCAAGTCTGTATACCAACTGCGTCTTTAGTGTCCCCTGAGTTTCTCTTGTGCCTTGGCTCCCCATCCCCCAAGTCCAGGCCAAACTTCTGAGAGTCCTCCTTTCGACAGGAGAAGGCAGAATCTATGAACTCATTTACTGTGTTTTCCTTATTCATCTTCTTTAAAAATAAGGACATTATTGATGTGAAATTTAATGTAAAATGAACCTCTCTTGCTGGGCGTGGTCGTGCACAACTATAATCCTAGCGGCTCGGGAAACTGAGACAAGAGAATCACGAGTTAAAAGCCAGCTTCAGCAACTTTGAAAGGCCCTAAGCAACTCGGCAATACCCTGTCCCTAAATAAAATTTTAAAAGGGCTGAGGATGTGCTCAGTGGTTAAGTGCCCCTGGGTTCAATCCCTGGTACCAAAAAAACAACAACAACAAAAAAAAAAAACAAAAAAAAAAACCTCACTTAAGTGAAGAATTCAGTGGCATTTAGTAATCATAAGTGTTGTGCAACCACCTCTTCTATCTAGTTCCAAAACATTTTCATCACCCCAAAAAGAAACCTGGAGCCCGCTCAGCAGTCACTGCCCCCTAGCAACCTCCAGTCTGTCTTCTGGCTCTGCAGATTTCCCCTAAGCATTTCATGTGCTTTTTTTCCCCCCAAGACAATGCATTTAACTTTACAACAGATAGAAAACTCCCTGATTGGTCTCAGTTGTGACGCACAGATAGTTTTAGATGGTCTTTTGGTGGACACCCATGCTGAGCAAGATTTTTCAATCTTCAAAACACTCAAGACTCAACAGAGGTTCTGCATTTCATATTAGTTTATAGTTCCAAGTGTCTTCCATTTTGGCACAGATTCCCTTTGAGGTACAGGGACACAGACAAAGCCATCTCTTTTAAAAATGAGTTTGTTCGCCTTAATTTCTTTATGTGACAAAAGCAGCATAGTCTTTAATTCTTATTTAGTCAGTAGCAGTAGTGGTGCCAGAAATTAATAACATCCCTTGTATGTGGCTTCTTTTACTTTGGCATCATGTTTTTTAGGTTCATCACATTTTAGTGTGTCCTTTTTATGACTTTCATCATCTTAGACTCACAGCATCCAACACAGTGCTAGAACAAATGAAATGATAATAAATGTTGAAGTGAAAATGTGCACTGAGAGAATTCCCATCCTTGAGAGACTAGGATAGGTTTATACACAGGTAAGTTCTTCTTTTAGATCAAACAGGACTTTGTGAGTCCTTCAGATCCTATAAGTAGAAATATGAGACTCTCCTCTTAAAGAACAGTATTTAAAAGCATATAAAAAATCCAAGCTGGGCCAGGTGTGGTGGGGCAAACCTATAATCCCAGCGGCTCGGGAGGCTGAAACAGGAGGTCTGGGTTCAAAGCCAGCCTCAGCAACTGTGAGACACTAAGCAACTCAGTGAGACCCTGTCTCTAAATAAAATACAAAATAGGGCTAGGGATGTGGCTCAGTGATTGAGTGTCCCTGAGTGTTCAATCCCAAGTAACTTCCTCAAAAAAAAAAAAAAAAAAAATACAAGCGGGATGTGGTGGCACACACCTATGATCCCAGAGACTCTGCAGGAGGATCACAAGTTTGAGGCCAGCTTCAGCAACTTAGTGAGACTCTGTCTCAAAATAAAAAAAATAAAATGTGCTGTGGGTGTCAGTCACTCAGTGGTAGAGTGTCCCTGGGTTCAGTCCCTAGTACCTAATAATAATAATGATGATGATTATAATAATGATGCAAGCAACTCATGTGGGCTGAGCGTATAACTCAGTGGTAGAGCATTTGCCATATTAGAGGCCCTGGGATCCCCAGTATTGCAATAAAGAAAAATACAAGGTAAAGCAAAACAAAATAAAAACAACCCTACAAATGGGTAATGGTACCAATTGAAAAAATGAAAGACCTTTAGTACTGTCCCCAAACATGTGGGTAGTCACATCACAGTTCTCTATTCTTGAAATTAGAATCAACATCTTCCCCATCACCAAAGGAGCCTGCTCAGGTCCCTCATCTTGCACTCCCCGAACACAGGAACTGTGTCCCTAAGAAATGAAGCTATGATGCTGTGTCTCTAAGAGACAACCACCCCTCTCACTATGGAGCTTAGGTGCTGGGGAGGATTGGTTGCAGTCTGCCTTCCCAATCAGGTACTTAATTGAACTGCAGTAAGCACTCTGCTGCAGAAGAGTGCCTGTGCCGGGTTAACCTGGGGAGCACATGGTTGGGGGAAAGTTTAAAGCAAGTGGCACTAGAGTCGGTAATCTGAAGGAATCAACCAGACACAGAGGTAAGGAGAGTGTCCCAGGGAAAGAAGACCATCTTCACCTGCTGCAGAGGGCCTAAGGAGCTGGAGAAACTGAAGTCCACCTGGTTGGTGGGCAAGCAGGAAAACAAATGGACTCAAAGGGGCTAGGAGCTCAATGGGGCCAGGTCTATGCAGTCGTACCAGTCATGGTCACTCAACATCAGTTATGTCCCCAACAGCTGTCTGGAGGCATCCCAAGTAATCATACAAAACACTCGAAAAATCTATAGTGGAATGAATAGGGAACCAAGAGAAGTGTTTGTTTTCAATTTCAGAACTTGTTTATTCACTTGGGACAGGATTTTGGAGGAAAAGTGGATGAAGCCATAATGGAGCAGGAGTACAGGGCTGGTAGGCGAAAAGTGTTCAAAGTTAATATTACCATAATTTCAGAACCCCATGTTGGATACCTTGCAAAACATCATCTTCTGAGATTTTTACTGCAAGAGGTGCAGAGAGTGACAGTTCAAGAGTAACATTGTCTGTTTTTCCCATGTTCTGGAGCCATAACATTACAACAAGAATGGGCAAAGAGTCACAGATTGTATTTAAGCTTAGATTTCAAAACCACCCATGACTATTTTGGCAGGATATATTATTTAAAAATTTTTTCCTTTCTTTCTTTCTTTCTTTCTTTCTTTCTTTCTTTCTTTCTTTCTTTCTTTCTTTCTTTCTTTCTTTCTTTCTTTCTTTCTTTCTTTCTTTTCTTTGTTGTTGTTGTTTTTAAGCAATCCAAAAGCAGATGATTGTTTTTATTCAGCCTGGAGGGAATTTTAATCATTGAATTCTTCCTATATGGAAATACCATGCTGGGTAATGAATTGGGATTTCAGGGAGTAATTTTTTGTTTGTTTAAGAAACCAGCCAGGAACAGTGGTGCATGCCTGTAATCCCTGCATTTTGGGAGGCTGAAGCAGGAGGATCACAAGTTTGAGGGCAGCCTCAGTAACTTAGTGAGACCCTAAGCAACTTATTAAGACCCTATCTCAAAAAATAAAAAGGTCTGGGGATGTTGCTCAGTGGTTAAGCACTCCTGGGTTTAATCCCCAGTACAAACAGTTTTTTTATTCATGTAAATGAGGAGAATGTTTTCTCTGGGCCTCAAGTATTTGCCAGCCCTGAAAGGCAGGGCATATGAGTCAGTCATCTGGACACAGCTTAGTGAGGAACCAATGAGTTTGAAACCCAAAAGTGAATAAAACTATTGTCCCACGCCCTCCCCCCCCCACCTCAGGGTGTGAACTTAGATGTTTCCACATGATTTTCTTTCTCTATTGGTCATAGCTTTTCCTCTTCTGCCCTCCTCCTCTAGGTTTTGAGGTTCCTGCAAACTATTTGGAAACTGACAGAGATTTCCAGCTAGAGATGGTGGTGATGAATAGCTTGAGGGTCATTCTTCAAGCTTCTCCATGCAAATCACCATGGAGAAGTTTCCAGGTTCTTCAGTCCATGCCAGTGAGGCCCTGCAGTCTCTACACCTGCACTTATAAAAGCCGGAACCGAGCCTGTGAGTACATTTTCCTAAAGAGAACAAAATCGCTTGTTTGGTTTTTATAACAATCATTTGTGTTAAGCATTTGTAGGTATGGTGTCATTGGCAGTCTGGTGTGATTATATGTTGTAATTTTGAGACAGGGTCTTGCCAGGTTGCTTAGGGCCTTGCTAAATTGATGAGGCTGGAGTTGAACTTGTGATCCTCCTGCCTCAGCCTCCCAAGTTGCTGGGATTACAGGTATACTACTATGCTAACTTTTCTATTGATCCTCTAAAGTAAATGTGGAAAGTTCTTTCTTGGTCAGGTTTAGTATACTAAAATGGTGCAGAAATTGGACAAATAAGACTTCCAGTTTCAAATATCTTGGAATCTGATTATCTTGGGAAGCTGAGGCAAGACGATCACAAGTTCAAGGCCAGCCTCAGCAACTTAATGAAACCCTAAGCAACTTTTTTTTTTTTGTAATGGTACTGACAATTGAATTCAGGGGTGCTCTCCCACAAGCTACATCCCTAACTCTTTTTTTTTTATTTCAAAACAGAGTCTTGCTAAGTTACTAGGCTGGCCTCCAATTTGTGATCTTTCTGCCTCTGCCTCCCAAGTCACTGGGCTTAAAGCTGTGTACCACCAGGCCTCACAACCTGCTGTTTTTATTGTTTCTTGTTAGTAATGATCTTTTTACTAAGGGCAATCCACAGAGTACAAATTATTTCAGTAAATCTTAAGTTTCTGGAAGTTGCTTTAATTTTTGCAAGCAAGTCAGTGGCTTCACACTAAGGGATATTCTAACCGGAGTTACAAATCCTGGAGTTAATTCTAGCTGACTAACTTGATAGTATGTGTTCTGCTGTAAACACAGAAAATCAAGTGAGCCAGAAGGTGGTCTCTCAAACCTCTGATTCTTGCCCTGGGAATACAAATTAATGTCCACATCAGGATGTTGTAGGGATTCTCAACCATGACCTTGACATGGTAGGTGGGTCATTGTTGTTGGGAACTCTCCTGAGAATGGCAGGGTGTTGAGCAGCATCCCTGGCCTCTACCCACTAGATGCCAGTAGGACTCCCACCCAGTTATAAGAACCACAAATTTCTGCAGGGAACTGAGGATGTAGCTCAGTGATAGAGCACTTGCCAAGCATGTTTGAGGCCCTGAGTTCAATGCCTGCCACCAGAAAAAAAAAAAAAAAAAGTCAGCAGACATTGTCAAACAAGCTCTTGGGGACAAAATTGCCCCCATCATTAAGAACAGTCAAGGTGCTGGGAGAGGATGTGGGTATTTGTGGAAAGATGAGTTTGAGTTTATGGAGAGATGAAGTGGCTAAGCATAGCATTCAAGAGAAATTTTTCATGTTTTCCATTATTAAAAGAAATTGACACAAAATTTTCAAATGTGGGCTTGCATCCAGGTTGGTCTGGATTTCTGTTGTTTGTTGTTGTTGTTGATCCTCTTTGACCCCAAATATATACAATACAAAGAATGGGTAAAAATTGAATGCTTATAAATTAGTAATGCTAATCTAGCTAAATTCAAAGGCTTGAAACTGTTTCATAAATATAATTTTATTGTATGTTTATTTTCTTTCCTTCCTCGTTGACTGTATTCTCATTAAATTAAACTGGCCTGAGTCATAATAAATTTCTGGTTGTTAGGTGTGGCTTCCTACCAGCATGCCCACATCCTACTCAGACTGGCGCTCTATGAACTAAGGCTTAAAATGGAAAAAATTAGTCATATTTAGTGAGTTACCAAAGATTTCCTTTTTTTTTTTTTTTTTTTACAGAAAGATGAAAGTTAAACATCTAAAGTTCTGCATGCTTTTGTCTTTAGGACAGTTGAGGTACTTCTTTTATTTCTGACAAAAAAAAAAACTGCAGGGGTTTGGGGAGGTTTCACTAGATTAATTTACCACATTATATGACACATTCTTGTTTCCAAGTTGGTAGGACAAATGACATGGTCACCATTTATTTGGCTTTTGGTATACTGCACTGTCCTGACTTGCTTTCACTCAGGAGAATATTATAGTCTTTGCTTTCTCACTGAGCATTTCCTCTTCTGTTATCCTGACCCCTCGCCTACTTACCTGTGTCGACAGCACTCATTGTTTTTGGAAGGCCGAGAATACACTGGACCAAGAACCACCTAAGATTGTTAAGGGTTAGAAACTCAGTGTTAGGACTTGCTTAGTATGGGTGAGGCCCTGATTTCAATTTCTAGCACCAAACAACCACAAAAACTACCACCCCCCCAAAAAAAAAAAACCCTTTAGTATTACTAAATTCTACAAGTACTACTACTATGGTTACTAATTCGACTAGTACTGCAATTGTTATCATTAACTGTATTATCATTATCTTTATTTTCATAGGCTCAGTGCCTGCCACAGGTGTTTAAATCTGACCATTTTAAGATGAAATGAAGCAGAGTAAGGAATAAATCAAGTGGGAGGTTGTGACAAATTCAGAAAGCAACCTTATAGGTCAGCCTTGAGATCTGCGCCTTTACCTTAGCTCCCTGCCCTCCTACCAAGTAATCACTGGCTGTCAACTCAAATTGCTGTTTGCTGTTATCTCAAGAAGCAGGCAGCCCTGTTGGGGACTTACGGATTGTACACCTGTTACCCATGATGGAAATCAAATCAGTTCCACCTAGGGTATCATCTAATGACATTTAGCCTAATCATTACATTAAAAAAATTTAGGCACAAGATCTTGGACCATAGAAAAATGAATTTGATAATTTAGTACATCTTAATTTAATTAGATATATAAAGAATACAGTCTAGGATGGAAATGGTATATATTTGTTATTATTACAATGATTTTTTTTTTTTTTTTTTTTTTTTTTTTGCCGGAGGGACTGGGGATTAAACCCAGGGCATTTACCACTGAGCTACATCCCTAGCTATATCCCCAG